TCTTTAACAAAGTGATTTCCCATTTATTATACCATTTAAATCTCTCGACAATATGCGGAAGTGTATGTCACCGGTTTTACAAAGAATCTGAGGCCACTGACAAGGTACAGAGATTTTTCTAAGATGACACAGTAAAACTTTAAGATGACACAGCAAATCTTTTCTAAGATGGCACAGCAAATGGCTGTGAACTGCAGTCCCCCCTCTGACTCGCTGGAGTGGTCTCTGGGCCATATCCCAGCTGTGTAACATGCAGCCCCACCCGTTTCCTACTGGTATTATCATTCAAGCTCATTGGTTCTTCAGTACATGTACTCAAGCAAATAGGGGCTTATGTCCCCCACACACACCCCAAAAGGAAAGTGGGGGAGAATCATTGGTATAAAGGTTAAGTATCTATATTTTCCCGAATTTTCAGTTGGTTAACTGTACTTGGGGCTGAGTATTCAAATATGATATGACTGAGACCATTACCAAATATCCCGCCCCTCCCGGTGGAAGGGTCGGGGATGGCGTATGCATGCTCATGGATGGGTGAGAGAGAGACAGAGAGTGTGAGAGCAGTGGGGAAGGGGTTTAAGTCCATAGCCAGTGACTACCTGGCCAGTCTCAATGAACCAAAGAAAGAAAATAAGATCCCTACAAACCAAGAGATGAAGAGGTAATCTCAGACAACCAGGCTTTCAGATACACCAGACCAGGACACCAACACAGTGAGACAAAGTGCTGGTGGAGAAAGATGGAAGGTCCAGCAGGGGGTATGCATATGGCAGGGAGGCACTGACTGATGAACACGGAGGAAATTTTCCAGATGCTGAGTCTGGGCCCTGGAATCCGTTTTATGAGCAGACTCCCGGCAGTTCTCAGCTGGGAGGAGGACCTTGCAGAGGCAGGCCCAGGACGCTGACTCCTCCGTATCTTGGTTCCTCTCCTTGTGCAATGATTGTCGGTCCGTTGTGTTTCAGAGTCTGGAGCTGGGAATCAGCATACCTGGGTTCTAGACTGAGCCCCAGCACTGACAATCTATATGACTTCAGAAAGCTCATCTACTCCTAGTTTTTCCATAAAAATGAGAAGTATTCACCAGCAGTACCCAACTCACAGAATGGCATTGGGGCAGTATTAAATTATGCAAGTCAAAGAAGCATTCTACACTCAGAAGTATGTCTGTACTCTGGCCTTGGTTATAATGTGGCCCAACTCAAACCAGATGAGCTTACACAATTCTCTAGGATAATAATGATAGTATTAACCCTTACATAGCACTTACTATGTTACTAGAACCTAATATGTCTGAGGTACTCAGAATAACCCTCAAAACAACCTACGGGATGGGTACTACCATTGTCCGCATTTTCAAAAGAAACCAAAATGTAGAGATGTTAAGTGACTTGCCCAAGATCATGCAGAAAAGTGGCAGGTTTGGGGTAGAAGCTCAGGAAGTCTGCCTTCAGAGCCTGTTGTTCTTAACCACTATGTGATAGTCCCTCTTGCTAAAGGAATAAAGAAGCCAATGACCCGAGTTTCCAGGGTCTAGTAACCTACAGCATTAGTATAGGCACACTTAACTGTGAGTCAAGCCAAAGTGGAAAAATCTAGATTTTACATAGCAGGTGGGGTGAATAACCATTCTCACATATGCTAAAAAACAAACCAAAAAATAAATCAGTAAATAAAGCAAAATTCACAAAATAAATCAAGATAAAACCTCATTTGGCAGCAAGCTTCGTAACATGTTTAAAGATTCAATTTACACAAAAGAGCTAATACATTTTCAGGAGGTCAAAAGTTACTTGTTTCTAGGGCTCCCTTTATCACAAATATGAAGTAAAATCTTAAGGAGACAAGAGGCCAATGCCAAGGTTCCCTGGATAAAGAGATGGTTACAGAAATGAATTATGCCTCTGCATACGCACACCCTGTGCAGTCCCCTCCCACATTTGTTCTACAGTTGTTATGTGACTTGCTTTGGTCATGTGATATTAACATACATGGTATAATGTGAACTTGAAAACTACTTGTACAATGGGGCTTGTGCTGTTAGAATACTCCTCCCATGTGAAGTGCCTTATGCTAGCCTGTTTGAGACACGTAGTTTAGCCAACACCCAGCACTAACTTCCAGACATACGAATGAGGCCATCTTACACCATCTAGCCCAAGCTGAGCCTGCAGGGAGATGTGGCTGCATGAGTGGTCCAGGGTAGGACCAGCAAAAGAACCATCCTGCTGAGCCCTGGCCAAACATCTGATCCAAAGAATTGTAAATAGTTGCTGTTTTAAGCCACTAAGTCTTGGGGTGGATTATTATGCGGCAAAAGCTAATGTAAAGAGCCCACATCTAAGGCATTTCATGGGGTAGTAATAACAATATGGAACCTAGAAATTGTTGGAAAGCCTGCAACATTCTCACAGGTAGAAGAGTCAGTTGGCTGAAAAAGTGGAGTCAGGAGTATGGGTTGAGAAGATGGCACGTGTTGCCTGGTATTACCTACCTTTCTCTGTGACTTCTGAGTCAAGCAGATGCCGAAGTTGATCTTCACAATCACATTAGTAGACCAAAGGAGAAAAAAGGAAAGAAGTCTATTCAGAGTATTCACTGGTAAGAAAACGTGTACAACAGCCTGGTGATATCACCTGTCAGGTTTACAGCCACAGTGTCTTTCGCTTCAGTCCCTCCTAGGCCATTACCACTACTCCCTTAACATTACTGCTACAGATTGGAGAAGCAGATGCACAGAACAGGGAAAGGACTCAACCAAAGACAAAGAAAACCTCTCAGCACTCCAAAGTCAAGAGGCCTGCCTATCTCCAGTGACAGCAATACTGGGAATAAAACCATCATTCAGTCCATTGTATTTCTTTAAAAATGAGAAACAGAAGCTCACAGAAGATAACATGTCCAATGCCACACTGCTAAATATGATTAACCTAGCCACGAACCAAAGTTCGTGGACTCTAACATTCTACAGAGACCTGGGACATAGGACATAGGCAAACATATCATCTAAATTCTAGTCTAAAAATCCTTCTGTCCTTGATTGATTTGAGAATATTGGCCAGCTGATCATCTAAGACAGCCTAGAAAGCCATAAGACACATTGACTACAATAATTTTTCAAACAGTGATTGGGAAACTTGGTTGACTAATGGATAGAAGAGGGGAAAATCCACCAAAATTTCATTGTGATAAAGACTGTGAATTTACTTGTAGGCTTTCCCCTGTTACTTCTATCAAAGTGCCAATTAATAGTGACCACAGGAGCATATTTATAATACTATGGTCTGAACGTTTATGTCTCCCCTCAAATTCCTGTGTTGAAATTCTAATCCCCAAAGCGATGGTATGTGGAGATGAGGCCTTTAGGAGGTAATTAGGTTATGAGGGTAGATCCCTCTGATGAGATTATTGCCCCTATAAGAAGAGACTTGAAAGAGCTTGCTTTCTCTCTCTGGTACATGATGATACAGTGAGAAAGTATCTTCACCAAGAACCCAACCATGCTGGCATTCTGATCTCAAACCTCCAGCCTCCAGACTGTGAGAAATAAATGTTTGTTGTTTAACCCACCTCATGGATGGTATTGTGCCACACCAGCAAGAGCTGACCAAGACAATATCTTAGAGGATAAAGAAAACATTAACTTTCGGCTCAAAGTATAAACAGTAGCCAATAAATAGTTCTGCAAATCCCTCTCAAATGCTAGCATATGAATATGTGCTAAACCTTATATGTATATGTGATTTTATTTTATACTCTAGAGGAAAATGCCCTGGTTCCTTTTCTATTTCCAACTTATTGTATGAATGTGAGCAAGTGATTTAACCACTCCGGGTCTCAGACATTCCATCAACAAAACAAAGCCACTGGACTACCGGCTCTGAAGCAACACAGTAGAATGCGGACATTGGACTTTGGACACTACACAGTTGACCGTGAATCATCCGGGACCTAGCATCTTGTTAATGTCTGGCCATCTGCCTACACCTCACCTCTTTCCAAATCCAGATAAATGGAAAAGACACACTGTTCTCACAGGGCTTGGTAGGAATGAATAACAACACACGTAAAGAACCCAGCACCATGCCTCATTCCTGGGAGTGCTCAATAAAAAACAGCTAATGATAATGATGCATTCATCCCACAAATATTTATTGAGCTTGCACTTGGTGCCAGGCACTATCCTTTGTGTGAAGGACAGAGGAGTTAACCAAACTGAGGAAACTCCCTATCCCATCTAGCCGGCATTCTAGTGCCTGGTAATCCACTACACTAACAGTGCAGGAGCTACGGGCCTTAGGTGCAGCCAGGGTTCCTTGATTCTATCCCCACTACTGAATCCAGAGCAGTCAGTCCCTGGAAACCTCACCCTAGGTTAGGTTAGGTTCTTGCCTCCGTAGGGGAGGCCATACACTGTCATGGGTCCTCTAGGCCTCTCTCTTCACCAGCCCAGCATGGCATCCACCAGTGAGGGCATAGCCAGGCCTGGGCTTCACACGTCTCTGCCACCTTAGCTCCTTTCCCTCGCCAGAAATGTTCCCCAAGCCTGCGGGAGAGCCTTCCAGAAACCTGGGAGGAGACGGAGCTTGCCTGGCGGCATTACCGGGGACTTCCCACCAGAGGTCGCCCTCTCACACAAGCCCAAGCAAACAGACCGGGCTTCGCCGCCTCTGCAGCGGTGACATTATTTTCTTTCTCTATTTTTATCTATTAAAAAGATTTCTTCACAGCCATAACTTAGATCTCTACACTGAAATGGAGCAACAGGAAGATATAATGGTGCGTTTCATTTATGAATGACCTATAATAAATTACTCTGAAGTGTCCCGAGTGCCAGAAGACAGAACGCTTTGTCTGCCCAGGGACTGTATTTCACATACTTTAATTTAGCTGACACATAAAACTCATTTGACATTTTGCAGGTATTTGTGCAGGGCGGGGTGGGGGGACGACTGTGCGGCTGGGTGGGGAGTGGGGGCCGCAGGCAGGGGAAAGGATATTCGGTTCTTGTTGAGGGTTAAGGTATGCAGGCTGGGTAACCCTGGCAACACGAGGTCGTCCCCCAGCTGATTGTTGTCCAAGATGAGTTCCTCCAGGCTCCTGAATGCGCTCAGTCCTTCCAGTGACCTGCAATGACAAAGGCAACAGGAAAAATGATCCTGCACTAAATCAGGGAGGCCATTATGAACCGAAATAAATATTTTAACCTTCCCTTTCAGGACTGGGAATAGTTTGGGCTTGGTGCCTGTCAGCAAAGTGAATGACAAGAATTAGTAGCAGGAGTCAGGGCGGGGGCGGCGGGGAGAAGGGGCCGCTAGCACCCACCGCATCCTTCACGCATTGCCAACATGAAGGATGAGGGTCACTTAGTGAGTAGCCAGGATCCAAAACAAAGGGCTTCAGATACGGCCTGCAGGATAAATTTGTCAATGTCTTGTGCCTTCAGGCACCCAGCCTCGGCTGACCCTAACCTCCATTCCCAAGATAAATAACTCTGTCACAGTTCACCTTCATTCCCTGGACACAAATTCAAGTTGTCATCCATCATTCCTGCCCAGAAATATCATACCCTCTTACAATAATAAATATAACTTCAAGTATCATTTCTTAGCGGTTCTCCTCTGTACAGTCGTGGGGGAAATGGCACGGAAGGCTCCCTTTCTCTCCGTTCACATCCTTTGACTTTTTTTTTCTTTGCCTTTTTTCTTTACTAATCACTTAATTTGCTTCTGCCCAGCATCTCGGTGGCTGCCCAAAAGGCAAGACATCTGTGGAATTACATAATCACTCTGGCCTGAGAGGGCTTTTTCTTTTATTATTTCTTTTTATTTGTTTTTGCTGCGGGTGGGGAAACAGGAGTTGTGGGGAATAGCTGCTTCAAAGCTCCTGGCTTGAAGTTACTGTTTTAATTTATGGAAAGTGGATTTCTCACTTAATTTTTGAAAGAAGTGTAGAGTGCAACCCTGTAGATGTTAAGACAGTAAATAAAAAGGTAACTGAAAGAATTAAGTACCTGATTCCAGGAAAAAAAAAATAGCAGAAAGGGAAAAATAGCCTTGCTTATACACATCGCTGAAAGTTAACTCTTAATTTTATGGGCTCTCATGAGTGTTGGGGGTGGAGGTGACACTGGGCAGTTTTGCACAAGTGCTTGCTGGGCGTACACAGACATTAATTAAAGCAGGCCGGCCAGCGGAGGGGCTTACACGGAGACACAGACTCCCAGCTGGTTCACCTGCCAGACCCGAGAGATGTGCTGAGCCTGCGCAGGCTGACAGCTGAGCTACAATGTGGACTGGAGGGAGCCTCGTATGGGATGCCTGGCTAGTCTATAAAATGTGACGAATCAGGGAGATGCCGTCCACACTATTTATTCATTTACTGATACAGCTTCCATTAGAGCCCCGTGTGCTTCGTGTGCAATGTCCGCACATCTGCTGTGAGTGTGAACTTCAGCACCAGAGCTTTCCCAAGGCATCCACTGCTCCCTTGTGGGATCTCTGCCAAGAGGACTCCGAAATGCGGAGTCAATACTTGCAAGGTGTAAAACGTGTTGTAAGTAATTAAATCTGTAGATTCCACCGGGCCCAGAGCTCTGCCTGCACGTTCCATTCCTGTCAGACCTCGGGGTGGTCCCACCCAGGACTCGCCGAGCAGAGCACGCCTGCTCCTCCAACCAACACTACCAGCCCCGCCACTGGAGGACACATTTTGGAGTAGGGGTCCGGAGATCACCGGGTTTCATTTCCTCCTCCTTTCTCTTTTTCCTCATGTTCCTAGAGGCAAAACACAACTTATGAGGATAATTGCTTGAAGGGCTAGATATCCATCGATCCTGATGTGATGATTACACATTGCATGCCTGTATCAAGATGTCTCATGTGACCCATAAATATATGCACCTGCTGTGTACCCACAAAAAACAAAAACAACAAAATAAAATAAAAACCCACAGCGTACACACATCTAGGCAGGAAGGTTTGGGACTTTCCCTCCGCTCCTCCACTTCCTGTTGTGTGAATATAGGCGTGTCAATAGCCCATCTCAACTCTCCTGTTCTGTGTTCCTTCCAGCTCACAGGATCTTGTAGAGAATAAGTGAAGGACCACTAACTAGTTACTAGCATGTTTGTTTTTTCTGTTCCTTCCTCCTTTTATTCACTGTTTTTGTTTTGTTTTGTTTTGTTTTCCCTGAAGTCCTGACCCTGCGGATGTGTCTGGAACGCAGGGGACGGGCCATGAACAAACCCACGGAGGAGGCATACAGCAAGTCAGGCTTCTGCCGGGAACTTCTGGGCTCCTCTGAAGTCCCTTCCTCCACTAGGAGTTAGTGAGCGATGTGCCAAAAGGCTTTTCAGAACTGTGCCCCTTTACCTCAAGGAGGGGTGAAGCCACTTCCCCTTAGGGAGCTTTACGGGTGGCGAATAAGTCCTTTGTGCACAAACATCAGCTGGGCTCTGCTCAAATACACATTGCTCCTGAGTTATGTTATGCAAATATTAGACTCTTCTGATGAGAATCAGCAAATGGTTGGCGGCTGGCAAGCAGAAGACAGCTCCTTTCCAAGAGTGCTTCAGGGGGACATAAAGCAAAATGACACAGCATGAAGAGGGGGAGTGCTCAGGAGCACCAAGGCAATGTCCACCCCCACCCAGACAGCCTTTCTCCCCCTGCAGTGTGGGTTCTGGGGCAGAACTCCACACCAGAGTGAGACCTCCCAGAAGAGCTGGGAAGATCAGTCTCCAATCCCCTGTCACCTGTCTGGTTTTGAGACTCTTTCTTCCATGTGACATTATTAGCTGCTCAGTAAAAAGAGAACCATATTACATAGGTGACTGCTAATGAATAAAGCCCTGTTTTCATGTTATCAGCGTGCTGTCCTCCTGGGGATTTAAGCAGCTAGATCCAGAGCTGAGGGCTGGGGCACCGGAGGCAGGGGACGGAGAGCATGGTGAATGGGGGTACTGGGGAGGACAGGTTTTGGGGGTCTCAGCTGGCATGTGGACGACAACACATATACACCTGAAGGGAGGTGTTTTTACCTTTTACTTTACTTTTATTTTTTACTGTTATTTTTACTGCTGTTTTCTAGGGAGGAATAGGAGAAAATATTTGTGTGTAGATCTAGTTAATTCCCCTAGATGCCAGATGCCTGCAAATATATGCTGTTAAATAAAATGACAATTTGTCTGCTATCACCTTGTGTGTGGACAGCAAAATGCACCCCAAAACCAGATCCCCAGCGGAGAGGCCAACTATCAGTCCAGCATCACTCGCCAGCTTCCTAGAGTACTGTGATATCTGAGGTGTGGGCTGGGGGCTGATAGGAGAGGGCAAGGTTTCACCCAGGACCTGGGGGGCTGATAGGAGAGGGCAAGGTTTCACCCAGGACCTGGGGGGCTGATAGGAGAGGGCAAGGTTTCACCCAGGACCTAGGCACAGACAGCTGGAGGGAGATTGTCCAGGTCTGGATTGTTCTGGAAACCTAAGCAGTAGCCACCCTCCCCCACCACCCCCGGAGGGTGCCTGCCTCCCACACCACCAGCAGCAATGCAGCCAGGAACTCATGCACAGGTACCATCCTCTTACCTCCTTCCCTCACTCCCAGGGCTCTGCCTGGGCTCCCCCAGGAGCTGCAGCGGCTGCTGGGAGCATGCCAGTGCCTTTTCCAAAGTCACATCAAAATGACAAAACATCACAACGCATTGGGCTCCAGTGGATTCAAACTGAGAGAACTTTTAAGTTTCCACTGTAATTAACCCTATCCTCGTTAAGATAATTATGATCAAGCTTCCTGTCAGAGTTAATATCCCAGCATCATCGCCTGTGGCTCACACTCTGCCCTCATTAGCTTATGGAAACAGCAGCGCTGAACAGGCGTGCAGCCCTGCCCAGACCAGGCCAGTGGCTGGCAAGGAGGGGCCTCGGGTGGGGGGCCAGGGGCCCCACAGAAGGGCTGCCCGTTAAGCCCCAGTCCCTTCTGCTCCTGGGTGGGCACAAATCAGTGAGCTTCATCCTTTCCCAGCAAATGAGTCACTCACCAGAAGGGAGGGGAAAAGCCAGGGCCTGAGGCCCAGGTAGGGCTGGTCGGCTTGGGCAGGAGCTTCTCGTTTATAGCCACTCTTTCCTGCCCCTTGCCCAGCCAAAAACCAGCCAGAACATTGTACATAAAAACCACCAGATGGCTGGGCGCAGTGGCTCAAGCCTGTAATCCCAGCACTGTGGGAGGCCGAGGCGGGTGGATCACGAGGTCAAGAGATCGAGACCATCCTGGTCAACATGGCGAAATTCCATCTTTACTAAAAATACAAAAAATTAGCTGGGCATGGTGGCGCGTGCCTGTAATCCCAGCTACTCAGGAGGTTGAGGCAGGAGAATTGCCTGAACCCAGGAGGCGGAGGTTGCGGTGAGCCGAGATCGTGCCATTGCACTCCAGCCTGGGTAACAAGAGCGAAACTCCATCTCAAAAAAAACCACCAGACGACACTTCCAGAACTCCTGGATCAATTCTTGGATCTAGGCTGTGCTAAGCATTCAATCTCTCCTCCCTCAGCTTCAGCCTAAACCGGGGGTGACAGGGCTGTGCTGGCATGAGCTGGGCAGTGAACAGGGGGAACAGCTGGCCACAGACCCTAAGACAAAAGCATCTGTCTCTTTGGAACTATGTTTGGCCTCAAATCCAGGAGCAAAGGCTGGGACGTTCTCTAACCAATCCAGAAAGCAAGATCTCCACTAAGATCTTGACCCACCTCCTTGATTCTGTCTAAGTATCACTGCCCATATTTTTAACTGAGGAAATGGGCAGGTCTTAGAAGTTTTAGAGGGTCTAACCTGGGTCTGACGTCTACCACCCTGGCTAGGCCCCCAGACCTGCAAGGGCCGGCTGCTGCCTGTTCTGTATGGGTCTCTCTGATGATTTCTGTCTGGCCAGGGCCCTATAAGAAGGGAACTCCATGTAGCCTCCATACTCCTAGAAAGCTGTTAAGTGCACAGCGAGGGCTCAGTACTGCCTCACCTACTGAGTACTGTTCAGTCACAACCTCGGAATGTCTGAGTGAAAAACAGCCAATAAACTCCAAGTATGGTACAGTGAGCAGGGCCCCACTGCACTGGCCGGTGGCTAGGACA